ACGGAGTGCGTGCTGTGCTTGAGCAGCCCGAGGGAGGTCGTCCTTCTGCCGTGCAGGCATTTGGTCGCGTGCAGGGAGTGCGCGGTGAATATGGTGGAGTTTGGGGCGGGTGGGCAGTTAACGCATGAGATCGAGGCGACGGGTGGGACGGCGGCGACCACTGCGGGTGCGGCGGAGGGAGGGGCTGCTGAGGGTGCTGCTGGGGGACCGGCGGCTGCTGCGGCGACGACCCCCGCTGAACAGCCGAGGAGGAGGAAGAGGAAGGCCAAGGGTTGGTTCTGTCCCGTGTGTCGACAACGTGAGTTGGTTCCTTCCTCGACGAGATGAAGTACTACGGAGAGTTTTATCTGACTGCCTCTCGTATAGCGTACACCGCACTGCTCAGAATCACCACGACACCCCCGGGCAAACGACTCTCGGAAGATTCGTTCCACGCTCCAGCTTTGCCTGCCGCGACCACCGAGACCGCCACCGGTGAGCCGGCCGTACCTCCTGCCGCGCACGTCGCGCCGACGAACCAAGCTACGGACGCGACGAACGCGAGCGGAGCGACGAGTGCGGAAGGTGGGGGGATGTTGAGCGGGTTGTTGGGTGGGTTGAGCCTGAGAGGGAAGAAAGAGGAGAGAGCGCCCAGTGGAAGCGAGGCTGTGTAGACTGTTAAACGGTATGGAGTGAGGATGGAATGGTTAAGGGGGCAAGGTCTGCGACCGTAGCGCACCCGTTCTGTCCGATGGCGTTTTCATCATCGTCTCCCGACGACATATATCCCTTGCTTAGTGAAGAGATGTTAGGTCTCCATGTAGTTGGTTATCTTTTCTTTCAAGTATAATGTGCTTCTTTCTTCTCTCCCTTGCCCTGTATTTTCTCTCCGCTCCCTCATTGGCTGGATAGGTTTTCTTGTAAGAGTATGGTGGTAGTGGCAAACTTACATCGCTATAAATGTCGCACCGGACTTCGATTCCGTACTCCTTCGTAGTCCAACGGCTAGGATAACTCGCTTTCAGCAAGTCACTTGAACCTCAAGGGCTAGCACCGAGTAGGCCCGGGTTCGACTCCCGGCGGGGGAAGTTATTCTTTTACTTTTTTCCCCCACAATCTTCCTTTTTTTCGACCTTTCAACTTCAATGCTTTCGACGAGACAAGTCGGAGCCAATTATATTTCTCTACGTCAATAATCGCCTAAGCGAAGTCATTCCTTCGCCGACTCCTCTCATCTGCCACCGCACTTAGGTCCGAACGGTTATCCAGATTCTCAACCCAAGTAGAGAAGGTGTGCCTTATCCTCTCGAGTGTATGGGGACTGGGTTATCGTCATGCAGGAAGATGTCAGACTAGATGCTTCATGCCGCCTCGACCATGCGTCGAAGACAGGCATTCGTCAGCTTGATCCTCAGGCCGCCCGGGGACCATCCAGTCCCAGTAAGAGCTTCATCGTAGGAAGATCGCGCTCACCAAACATATCGTTGCCATCCGAAATATTCACTCGAATATCGCACACGAGAAGAACATATCACCCAATCATCCATGATATTCGACATATATACATACAGCACCGCGGTTTCGCCACTCTTCCGATGAAGGAAGAGCGTTACCAGGGCTCACCACGTGGAGGCCCGCGGCGTCATAGAGCCCCAAAAGAACAAAGCCAAGACAAAGTGCAAAAGCGCAAAACAAGAAGGAAAAGGTACAAAAAACGATAAGAGAAGCCCATGCCGAGCCAAAGAGAAGCCCATGCCGAGCCAATGTTCGGATCATCAGGATACGTGTTCGGTGAGGGATGGGCACGCTGCACGAACATCCTGGAAGGGAAACGGGGAGTCCGCAGCCTCGTCAAAACCTTGCTCGAGATCAAGGCTTTACCCGTGAGTCAAACTACAGGAGAAAGGGACCGATCTTAAGCCAAACATTTCTCCTCTCCTACCTCGAGTCGCTCGCGGCCCGCCTTAGAACCCGATTCTGACGCTTTCACGTACACGACACGATCGCAGCATAGAGCTCGGTTGAACCCGTAGCGTACCCCGGCAACGGCTGAGGGGTCCAGTCAGCGGTCGGTCTTGACCCGATGGCGAGAGTTTACGAACCAAGAAACCCGGGGCACGCCACAGGTCAGTCCTGATTTGGCAGGCGACCGACTTTGCAAGACCGGAACAACGTGGATGTGGTTGATGAGGGGCGGGTGGTGGAGGAGCTTGCTTGGGTGAACTCGGAAAGGTAGGGCTCACCACACCTCGTTTTATATTTTCGACGGAAGACGGGACGGGTACTTTCTGCGCGGCTTATGCGCACCCAGCGGCGGAATGAAGCTGGTCCAGGACCGTCATGGCACGTAGGCAACGCACCTCAGAGGAATGACTGTTGGACTGAATCGCAATTCCGTCGTCACTCGCCCCGCTCGCAGTTGCCAGCTGAATCTCTGGATCGTTGCGCGACCCGCCCTTCCAATGGGTCGGGTGCTCTGGCAGCCTGAGCCGAGCGGGTCTCGCCAAAGTCGGTCTCTTCTGGTTTTTGACTGTAAACCGGCCTGACCAGACTTATCGCAATTCGTCTGTGGGCTGGCAGAAGAGAGAGCGAGGACTCGGAGCCAGCTTATAGACCTCTACGTCCGACAAGCATTAGCTAGCTCGATCCTCAGGCAGCCCGGGGACGACCTAGGTCAGGTCCGAAGAGTTTCATCATCGGAAGATTGCACTAGCCAAACGTTTTGTTGCTATCCAAATTGTTCACTCGAACATCCCACATAAGAAGAACATATCACTCAATCGCCCATGATATTCGACAGATATATACAGATATACAGTACCGCGGTTTCGCCACTCTTCCGATGAAGGAAGAGCGTTACCAGGGCTCACCACGTGGAGGCCCGCGGCGTCATCGAGCCCCAAAAGAACAAAGCCAAGACAAAGTGCAAAAGCGCAAAACAAGAGGGAAAGGTACATCAGAACAATGAGAGAAGCCCATGCCGAGCCAATGTTCGGATCATCAGGATACGTGTTCGGTGAGGGATGAGCACGCTGCACGAACATCCTGGAAGGGAAACGGGGAGTCCGCAGCCTCGTCAAAACCTTGCTCGAGATCAAGGCTTTACCCGTGAGTTAAACTACAGGAGAAAGGGACCGATCTTAAGCCAAACATTTCTCCTCTCCTACCTCGAGTCGCTCGCGGCCCGTGCTAGAACCCGATTCTGACGCTTTCACGTACACCACACGATCGCAGCATAGAGCTCGGTTGAAACCGTAGCGTACCCTGTCAACGGCTAAGAAGGTAGCAGTCAGCGTCCAAGGGTTAACCCGACAGCAAGAGTGGGCCGACCAAGAAACCAGGGGCACGCCGCGGACCACCCGCAGCTGAAGGAACGGGAGGCCAGGACTAGAGGGAAAAGCTTGCGTTTGGCAGAGCATAAGATCTCTTCGGGCTCTCTTTATATCCTCCATATGCGTTGCGCAACGGGGGATGATAAGCCGAGGAGCGCCAACATCCGCCGGGCGGATAACTGTCTGAACCGATCCGGCGGCGGCTCAACACCGTGCCTGCTGGTCCATTTTTGAATCGAGACCAGTCAACATCTTGCCTCTATACTACTCAGATGGACTCAGTCTGCTAGGTTTTGGAACGGCTTGGCTGGAATAACCGCGGGCGGCGGGTGTTTGGGCTGGCGTTGATGTAGAGGTTCAAACCAAAGGCTCGCATCCGGACTGGGTTTCCGAAACAGGCCGTCTGAGTCGAATGGACCTCTCTGGCTCAACTGTTATGAGTTACTGTTCAGTCGAGCAGTAGGACATGAGGAGCTCCATCACATGAGCGGGGTAATCTTAAAGAGCTTCGTCTCGACTTTCTGGTCGGCATCACCGTCACTCCATCTCTTCGACAATCTTTCAGCATATAATTCCTTCTCTTTTCTTGGGGCTTCGATCATCATGCCAAGCTCAGCTCCTACAAAAAGAACATCGTTGTCGACGACGTCCCCTCGCCCACGTGATATCGCCTCCGCTCTCGGCTTGATGTTCGTTTTAGAGCCTAAAAAGAAGTCGATCGCCCTGAAGAAGCACTTCTTAGAGCAACTCGTCCTTCAACTGGATCGGTGCGTTTCTACGTCTTCTCCAGTCCTTGTGAAGGTGGATTGCTCAGCTTACAGTCTACGTTCCTGCCGGCTTTCCTCCACTTCGCCCATCAGAGATGGAGTAATAAGCAATGACCCTCGTAGCAAGAATCTCTGGCTCAAGTCAAGTAGCACTATTGCCGCCGATAAGATCAGAAATATGGTGCAGGAGGAAGCCGACTTTGGCGAGGTCATTATTCGTGAAATTCGCCCTACCGCACCGGAAGCGAAGCGTATCAAGCAGCACGTTACCAATACACTTATCTCAGATATCGGTGAGAGCTCATGCTACTTCTAATCATCTCGCTCCTAAGCCTGTTATTGGTTCTCCTCCTAGGTTCTGGCCCTTCCTTTGCGCCATCGGCCGAGAACGGTGACCTTCGCGCCGGTCGTAGACAGGCCCGCGCGACTAGCCGAGGTATGTTACTTTATTACTCCATTCATCTTGCAACCGCGTGACGAACCATGCCGCTTGCCACTTCGATATGTTCCGTAGCCCCATCGCCCTCAAGCTCAAAGCCCGACCAGAACATTCCGCTTCCGCCCTCTATATCCGGCAAGCCCACCAGTGTAGAGCAGAGTACGTGTTTTCCCTTCCTGTTTCTGGCAATCGCGGTGTCTAATATCATCCATCTTGCTCTGACAGATCGACGATCGAGCCGTCGTCTAGCCGGGCAACGTCAAGAGCGCTCAGGTCAACCGGAATCGTATGATTCAGCTGAGATTTCCACTCAGGGTATATCAAAAGGCTAGTACCTTCTGTTAAGCTCATGATATCGCACTGCTCCGTGGTATTGATACTTACGTCTCACCGGCCTTTAGCTCAAGGGAAACAAAGAGCTCAACTTACACCTGTCCCCGAAGAGCCTTCCCAACTTCCTGATAAGCTCCATCATTTACTTCGCTCTTTCTCTATGTGATAGACCCGCTGACCGTGATTATGTTTGCCTCCAGACGGCGACTCTTCCGACGATGAAAAGGGTCATCAAAGCTGGGCTATAAATGTTGCAAGTCCGTTAGAACGTAAGAACCTTCTTCTATCTACATTAGATATACCTTTAACCTTTTGTCGTGACGGGTATAGATAAACGAAGTGCCATCGATGCCTTCACCACAGACGGAGAGACTGAAGTCGGACAAGCGTTGGCCATTGTTGCGGCTCCGGAGGGAATCGCGACGGCTACACGACCTCGTAAGTCCCCTGCGCCAGCAACTGACGCCACCTATCTCATTATTGCTCTATAAATTACAGAAAAGCGTCCTCGCGTGGATCTTCCGCTCGGCGACCAAGAGCTGCTCGGAGGGGGCACCAGGCGGCACCGGCAGGACGCGACAGCGCTTAGGCTTCCACCTAGATGCATAGAATGCATTTGCATTCACGCCACCCCGAACCCTCAAAGCTCCTCCACTCATAGCTACCGACCTGCACTATACAGGCTCATGTCAGTGTGCTCCAGCTGGAAAACGGTCGTCGAAGAGAAGCCTTCTTTCTGGACTCATATCACAAACGGCAGTCCGCCAGGAATGCTAGATGCATCCATCATACGATCCGCCGGTATTCCAGTCACCGTTTACTTTGATGGCTTAATGGAGTACGGGTCGAAAGTCGAAGCCGCTCTCAACGCTTTCGTCAGCAAAGTCGTCACTTGCCGTCTCGATTGGAAGTCGGTCCACTTCACCAACCTTCCTCCTACTACAGGCTCCATCGGCACGATACGTCATGCGATGAACGGCTCGGCCCCAGAACTGATATCGGCGACGTTCACCACCATTTACACCTCCGTTGTCACTTCCCTCCACGAGATCGCTTTCGACGCTCCCTCCCTCCGTCACCTCGCTATCGGGGGATTCATTCCAAGTCTTTCGAATACCCTAGTTTATGCGGACCTCGAGACCCTCTGTCTTGGTTCCCCCCTTGGTCTCGCTCCGGCCGCCCTCGTCCGCATCCTTGGCCGAAACGACAAACTCAGG